TATTTGGAAAAATCAATATGGCACCTTTACAAAACTAACAGTGTTGTACAATAGGTGAAGTGATTTTACCAGGATAAACCATTTTATGCTTAAGAAGTAATTAATATCATAAATAATGTTTGAACAGTTGGAGACATTTAAAACAAGCTTCAATTCAGATTTCACAGTAGAATTAACTTTGGTATTGAAACACCCATAAACAGCCCTTCCTAAGTACGGCTGTATTTGTACAGCAAACACATTTATAGAGAAAAATGGGATTTCACTCACAAGTGACTTTCTGACCCATAACAGCCTCTTTCTGGTGAGGTTTTCATGACTCCACACATTGTTTGTAAAATCAGAGCTGACGGGGTGATGAGAGTATCTAATGGGGTTAAACTCTGCATGCACTCATACCGTCATAAAATTATTTTGTACAAAAATCGTATGCATTGAAAAACTAAATCCAACTTCATGTAGCTCTGTATTTATGAATAAACATCTTTTTGTAAGAATCTCTGTCCTTGTGTGTGATTTGCCAGCTGATGATCAGAATTAACTCAACAGCTGACTGGTATTCAGTCAGTTCCTTCTGATATCTGTGTGCTTCCAGCATATTTAAGAACTGGGCTCCTGGTGCCATATTTTAAGCCGTATATGATAATTACAGGCTAACACTTGTCTCAGCTGCCCTCTCAAAGCTTCATGTTGGCTCATCGTGTATAGTTTTAGTCTGATTCCCAACACAGCTAATGTAAACATAGGCCCCAATAGATTGTAGTGGTGTAACAAACTGCAAAGCCTAGTTGATCCATATGACCCCCACCGCTGCCACCATGATACAGCATGCGTGTGAATTGATGATTATTTGAATCACTTAACCATCATAGCATGAAAAACAGTTTGATTGACCCTGTTGCTTTTTTAAAGTTTCAGGGAACAGACACAGACAAAGTAGTTGTGTGTCTGCCAACATATGTCACACTGGCAAGCTTTATGGGCTTTTGTCATCATGGAAACAGTCAGAAACATGCTGTTACAATTATGAAACCATCATGATTTCATTACATTCAGGCTCACAAACTACTTGGTTAGGTTAATTTAACAATTGAGTATTGAATATTTTATATTAAGATTTTAATGAGACACTGGACACTGTTTTTTCTTATCCAAAAAGACGATCCAATCCCCAACTCACAATCTGTAATCAGATCCAAACTCAACAGAATAAACAGACACATTATCTGTACCAATTATTCTTGGGGTTGGAGCCAATCCCATCTGACATTGGGCAAGAGGCAGGGTCCACAGGTCACCAGTCTATCACGGGGCTGACACACAGAACACACACCTAGGGGCAATTTAGAGTCTATCACCCTAAGCGGTATGTCTTTGGACTGTGGGAGGAAGGAGAAGTACCCGGAGAAAACCTACACAGGCACAGGGAGAACATGCAAACTCCACACATCCCAGTCTCTTGCATGCATGCAGCCTGATGAACCAGAAGGTCAGTAACATGGGGACAAGAATGTAATCCCTTGCTGGCTTCCCAACTGCAGACTTGCATATTGTTTGTTGGCGTGACCAACAAATCTGCTGTAAAATCAATAAGGCTGAGCTCCTGTTGAATGAGGCATGTTAAATAAGGAGTATGTCAATCTAGCATAATATATCTGAGTGAAAGAATGTTAGAGAGGACCTGGTGTCTATTTATATAGTCTGCGTGTGGAGCTGCATTCGTAGAAACCTTCAGGGGACTTGTGTTTTCAGCTAAATTGTGGCAGTCTTATCTCTCCAGTTTTGTTATTGCTCCACACGGTAATTGCTGACTTCCAATCACGCTCGTTTCCCTCTGCTCACTCTCATTCTTTCTTAGCTGTAAGCTCGCTCTAACTTCCCTTCCGAAATTAGTCCAGCCCCACCTCCACACTGACACACAATAAATACCCAAAGGAATACATGAATACGCATAGACAGAAACAGGCAGACACGCCTGTACGTCCTCATGCTATGAGGGAGGGGGAAACTTCTGTTTAACCCATTACACCCATCTCAGGGCACAGTATGTCCCAGGGGCCGACAAAGGACTCTTTACATTCAATTTTCTATTTAATTTTAATCACTTTTATGGGCCAAGTATGTTACACACACAAGGAATTTGTCTCCAGTACAGAACAGAGGCAGCCATCAGCATTGCCAACTCTCTCTCACACACACACACACACACACAGTTTATGTTTCGTAGTCCATGGGGACTTTACACTGACTTACATGCATTTCCTGTAGACTAACCACTACTTGCTTAAACCTAACCCTAACCTTAATCTAACCCTAACCTCATCCTAACCCTAAACCATGTTGCCACCCTAAAATTCAATTTCTTGCCCATGGGGACCTCAATTTAGGTCCCCACCGTGAAATGGGTCCTCATGGGTTGGTATGGAGTCAGGAAGAAGTTCCCACGTAGCAGGAAAAACACGTCCACACACACACAGACACACACACACACACACACACACACACACTGATGGCGATGCTGTCCCTGCAAGGCACTGCTCTGGCCATCTTGGGGTTCGGTGTCTTGCCCAAGGACACTTCATATAGACACTTCAAACCACCAACCTTCCAGTTAGGGGACAACTGCTCAACCTCCTGAGCCACATCCTTATGAACACATCATAGTTTGCTTACCATGACCTTGACACAAAAAACAGCAGCTAAACACTCGCCGTAAAACATCAGTCAGTACATCAGTGTTTTATTTTCTCCTCTCTCCCAGGAACACACAGCCTCAGCCCTGCACTCCTCGGTGTAGGGGGACTGCGCCACATGTTGTGTCGTGGTTAACCAACAACCGACCACTTTAAAAAGAGCCTAAATTGATGCAAACCATCTTGAACTAATTCTCTGGTCAAGGGCGAGGGAAAGGGGATAACCTGGTGGATTGATTACTTCACTACAGCTATGATCTGTGTAACCTGGTCTAGTTACATAGTGGTAGACCACAGTGACCAGACGCCTCTCAAGAATCTGTTGGAAGTGGTTGGCCTCTGACAATTCAGTTCTGTTTCAAAAGGCAGTCTTGACAATGAAGGCCAAATAAATGCACTTGAATTTTTAAAATCATGCAGGAGGACACTAGTTAAAAGTGCATTAACTAGTTTCTTTTCAGCTGCTGTAGGGTATAGTGAAACTCAAAACAAAGTAACATCTTGTTTCTTAGCCACAATGTAAAGTACAGATGCCTGGTTGGGACGTACCCTACAAAATACAGCCACCGGTCCGAAAACAACAAGAAAGAAGAATCAAATGTGAGTCTATTAGCTGCTGTTAAAGGACAACTTTGGTGACTCTATAGCTAGTGCTATCTCTATTGTAGAGATTCGGGGAAATGAAAAGTTGTGTTAAACTGTGTTTTGGGGCAATTGGCTAGCCTCAGATTTGATTTTTGGTGCAGTCATTTTTCACATTTTTCTCTGAGTCAGAAGGAAAGCTAATAAAAGATACAGCCATCTAGGGTAGACTTAACTGCATAGGATGATCACCTGATCATCATTTCTATGTGGTTAGCTGTAATGGCTACCCAGATGGCTATACCTTGTGCCGGCTTTCCTTCTGAATATTTGCGTATGAAGAATGGAAATGTGAAAGGAGTTGCTCATTGTGATGAACCAACAGAGAATTATCATTCAGTTCTGCTGTTCACTTCAGCTCTCCATTAGCTCAGTGATTTGATTTTCCAGCCGACAAATTCCACTCTCATGAACCTTGTTTCTAGCAGCACAGAAAAGCTCAATTTATCAGCTGTCCACATCTCCAAGTGGATGCTAATGATAATATAGATTTTTACAGCTTCTTCTGCTGACCTCACACATAGCGCAATGTCGGTCATAAGAAGGCCCTTCGACAGAGCTGAAAAGTAATGAAATGTAAGTAATTCTGTTGAGTAATTAGTAATGTAATTACAGTTTCAATAATGAATGAGTAAATGACAGAATTTTGTGACAAATGAGAAAAAATTATTTCAAGGTACAACTAACTTACTAAAGATGATACCACTGCTCCTTGCTAGCATGTTTTTCCACAACTCTTGGTATCAATGGCAAAAAGGTGGCGGCAGTCAGTGGCGATGGGGACGGGCGTTTGGCTGTGCTGCTGGAACAGTTGAGTTCATAGAGAACAGCGCCTGAGCTTGATTAGCTGAGCTGCAGCGGTGAGCCGCCAGCTCAAGTGAAGCCAGTTCTGTCAGCCAGTGTGTGTTTGTATATGTGGGTGTGTGATGGGGGAGTGAAAAAGACGAAGCATAAACAGACTCAAAAACAATAAGAATGGAGAAAAAGAAGAGGGAGATACTGTCAGACAGCTATTTGGGGCTGGTATGTCTGCCTTGCCATTTGAAAGTGAAGTGATGTGTGGCCCAGCACCATGGTTTCAGTGTTACACCCAAAACAAACAAACAAAGGAGTTTGGGCAGCAGAGAAAAAAGTGAGCGATTCTAAAGCTCGGTGAATTTCATTGTGGCATAAGAGTGCGTACACACAAGCACCCACGTCTGTGTGTAACGATACATTTCTCATGGATGGATTTCCATTAGATGACACAAGGCTTACAGAAATCTTGTGGTGTTTCAGTTCATTGGGAGTCTCATGGAAACCCGTTTATCACATTCCTAACACTGGATGTGTCATTGCTTCCACTGGCTGCAACACAAATACTACATCTGAGGCATCTGTCCTGTTTTAGAAGTCACTGTCCAAAGTCACCAAAGAAAAAGTGTGTTGTTGTGACAGTACACAGGGGTCATTTTGATCAGATTTCTCTAATCAACTGCATAGTTTGTGTACTGGCACCTGCACTTGACTCCAGCAGTGTATATATAGCGTTACTGTTTTTCATTTTGTGTTTGTCTCTCTATTTACACTCATCCTCTCCAGATTTGTGTCAGCTAAGATTTTGGGGGTTTGCTCATAAGGAAAGCTGATTCCAAAGTTTGCTTCATCTCACATGGTTTCAATCACCTTTTCTTGCAGACCTTGCAGGTTTTTGAGACAGACCTTCGCTCCAAGATGCCTCAATCTGGACCAAGCCGGGCACTGGGGAGTGGAGAAATGAGGGAGAACAAAGAAAAGAAGCAAGGAGGGAGTGAGAGTGTGAAAATGAATTTTAACGCAGCTGTGTGGTCCTGGTCTCATGTGCATCTTCTTGTCTTGTCTCCATTTGTCTCATCTTTTGAGCTCTAGTCTCCTCTCCTATTGTCTCAAGTCCTCTTCCCTTTTCTCATCTCTTCATGACTCTTTTCTAGTCTAAGCTCCTCTATCACATTGACTAGCCCCATTTCCTCTCTTTCTGTCATCTCACTTCATTTCCTTTTATCTTCTTTTCTTTTTTCTTGCCTCGTCTTCACTTTATCAGGTTATCATGACATGCTGAACCTGTTAAAACGTCCATTTTCACTCTGTAACTGATGCAGTGGATTGCAAAGCTACTTACTGTAAACAATCTTCTGCATTATCTAGGGTTGTAACTGTACACCAGGGGTCGGCAAGTTGACGTGGCCTCGGGGCATTTTTTTCCTACGTCATCAGATGGCGGGCCATCAATATATTATATCAATATATTTTGCAATTTAAGGATAATATATATACATAAAAACATAAGCATTGTGCTGACTTGTAAAAGTAAATGAATAAACTAATAAAATACTTACATAAATAAAGAAATATTATTCCCGCCCCCTCATCTGCTATGTTGTTGTCGCTATTTGCGTAGTTACAATTGGCTCCATATCGGTAGAAGCAACGTTTGAAATTGAGTTATTTGATTTCCAAGCATCCTCCCTGGTCAGCACTGCACTACAAGGCGCGAGTCTGTGTGCGCTTTCTGGCTCCCGTGCTCTGAGGATTTCAGCACACTCAAGAAGCTCGCTTTTTATGTGCTTACTATGTTTCCTTCCACCTACACCTGTGAGGCATGCAGGAGAGAAACCGAGTGACGCAAAAAAACTTGCAGAATGCCCTGCGCATTAAAATGACACCAGACATACAGAAAATGGCGAAAGAAGGGAAATACCAGTTTTCCCACTGACTCTTTCAAATGTTGTAGTTATCGATCCATTTTTTTTTGTGCTCATATTGGCCATCTGTGTCTTTTAGGATCACGTTGAATCCCGCTTCAAAAGTCCTCCAGATGAAGCAGTGGTCACTGTAAAGTGTCTGAATATGTCCTTTATTTAATTTATATGCTCAGCTTCATGGATGTGAGTGCAGCAGTGACATAACACAGACCGGTTCTGTCACCACAAGCTGCAGCACAGTGCGGGAGAGGAGGGGAGGGGTTACAGAGCGACTCACAGTGAACCTTTGAAAGTGTCAAATTGAACTCAAATTAATAGTCATAAAATAACATAAAGGATTGGACGCTGTTCGTGTGACTCGGACTCATGCTATATAAATATAACGTTTCAAAATTCATCTGGCGGGCCAAAAATATTTCAGGGCGGGCCAGAATTGGCCCACAGGCCGGACGTTGCCAACCCCTGCTGTACACAAACATCACAGTTTAGTACGTACCTTGGTTTTGAAGTCACAGTTCAATTCAGTTTTGGCACAGTAAGGAAAAAAAATACATCATTTATTATGAACTTTTGTAAACATCAAGTTTATAATTTTTAAAAATATAATTTTAAATGAAACAAATAAAATATATAAAACACAGAATAAAAAAAGATAATACTGCTGCAAACTACGACTAAGTGCTCCAATAATCATGGAAAGACATTAAATGTTGAAGAAGCAGCGTTTGTACTACGCTCGTTTTATCCTTGCATCAGTGATATTCACGTTTGTGTGGTGCCATAACGAATAAGTTGATAAATTTGACGTGTTGCCAGAAACGTAAACAATCACTAACACACACAGCTAATACACTCTGGTGGACTGGAGTGTGATAAATAATAAAAAAATATCCACTTATCTTTGTCTGTTGTTGCATTTCACTGGGAAGCCTACTGTTAACTACTCTTTAAAATTTCATTCGGTACACATCTGCACCAGACCAAAATTCCTGTAGCAAAATGGTCCAGTAGGAATACATGAACCTTTACACCTCTAGAATTATCTACAGTAAGTGGTGTTCTCTGTCACGTTCAGTCTGTATTGTTGAACGCAGAAAGTTCCTAATTCACAAGATAGACGAGACAAGGGAAGGAAGAGGGACTCCAGTCCTTGCATGTTTTCACTGTGTTCCCAAAGCAGCAATGAAAGAGGAAGTAGGCTTGTGCTGGTGAATACAACTGAGACAAAATTAAACAAAAGGGCCTTTTCTGCTCTTCTCACTTTGACAGAAAAGCTCTAGTCCTAAGGATTTCCCTCAACGTTGCGCTTAGTGTCAACAGCAGGGTTCATGGAGGCAGAGTGTATTCACATGCATCCTGTGTAGAGGAGGGGCTGCCAGGGGTCATCTTGGATCACCAGCAAGCCCTGCAGGAGGATGTGACTCTGCAGCTTAACAAGGGTCCAGTGATGCGGGCCTACACATTCCATCTGTCAGTGCAACCATTCGTCCTCACTGGCCAGAGTATGAGGGAGAAGTAGTGGTGGCCGTTTCCTCATGGCCATCGAGGAACCACACCGTGATTCCTTCTCCTACTTTTGTTTTCATTCTCACTGGGGTCAGAAGTGCTATTTGGGTTAGTATTCAGAGTGCTGGTTTGTGAACATGACTTCAGCTGGATGGGAACTAGAAGACTGACACATTTTTGCCCTTTCTTTGTTTTTCTCTGCTTAATTCACTGTGAAGAACAATAACATCCTCAGATGTACAGGACAGAGCACAGCAGATAAAATCTGCACCATGTCTGCCTGACTGTTTTTCTAAAAGAACTTGGCATTTACAGTACATCATCTTTGTCACTTGGCTTTCAGTTTAATAAATGCAATATAATCACACTTGGTAAAAGCAAATCTACATAAAAGGAAATCATGACAATGTTAACTGCTGGGATCTGGCAACATTACCAAAGAGAAGTCAGACAAGCAAGAAGCAGCTGGACAATCAGGTTATACACAAAACAGCAGGTTAGTTTAACTTATTTTGGATTTTGACCTGCAGTGATTGCCACAGATTTACAGATGTATTATTTTGGAGTATGTGCTGGGAAATACACTTATAAAGCTAGAGCCAGGAGGTCATACACTTAGCTCTTCATGGCATAAAGATGCAGTAAACAGCTAGCCAGGCTTTGTCCAGACTGAAAAACCAGCACCTATAAAGTTTGCCAACTGACAAAGTGTATCTTATTATCCGTAAACAAACAAACATAAAAATGTACATTTGCAGTTTTTGGGGTAGTTTTGTGCTGTAACTACTAACAACAGTTTCTATGTATACAGCGTCTCTGCTGTTTGCTGGTTATCTGGAAACCTTTGTGATGACAACACTGCTCTACTTTTGTTCGCTAACAGTTATAGTACATAAAAAAAAAAATCCCAATTTGTCATTTCTGCTATTCTGTCTGTGCTCACAGTGAACAAACAAGCTATAATGAGCTAATAACTGAGCTTGAGAGATGTAGGCAGGACAATTTTGTTTCCCCCTGCTTCCTATCTTTTTGCTAAGCTAGGCTAAATGTTCCCAGCTCCACACAGACACGAGAACGGCACATGTATTGATACTAATATCTCACTCTTGGAAAAAAAAGCAAACACACTTCCTACTTCTTTTGGATTTTCATAGAAGTAATTTCATTTTTCATGTTTGTGGTTTGTTTTCATAGTCAAACACTGTTCCAGGTTCTAACTTTCACAGTCCACGCAATGTTAAGTGGCTGTACAATTTAATTACACTGGCTATTTCAAACCTTTCAAAGCATAACTTTTCAAGGAAAGCCCCCAACCAGGGTAAATGTCAGTTGCAAAATGCAGGCTTAAAAAAAAGTCAGTCCTCTGTTTTACTGTCTGCATGGGCCAGACAGGTCACTTGGCCAAACAGATAATGATCTGCTGTGGAGCTGCATTCTACAACAAATAAGCGCCCCGATAAATGACAGGACAGGGTGAGTTTACCCAAGGCAGCAGACATAAACACAGCAACTCACATGAATGGAATCTGGTAATTTAGATATACCACCACCATTAGCCCAATTAGGGTTCATTGACTATAAATCCACAGGGCTTTCCCTGTTTGCCAGAGAAGGAAAATGGGGAAATTACACATGTTAAACAAAAATGGCACCAGAGGAGGAAATGAGAGAGGAAGCCAAAGTGAAGGCAGAGCAGTGGAGCTTCGCCTTAGGTGTCTTTAAGTCGGTCACTGAGGTAGGGTTGCATCAGGAATCGCCAAGGGGCTTTGGTGGAGCGTGATGGCATTTCTGAAACTGATCCTCAACGAACATCTGGTTGACTCCCTTTCTGACTCAGACAAGCAAACTTTAATCCACGTTCAGTCTGACTGAATACGCAGCTTTGAGTAGTGTCCACAACAAAATAATTGGAGATATCTTGTGATTCAGACATTTTATCAATTGTTTTACAGTAAACAACAACTGGGTTAAACTGGTCTCCATGTTCAAATGTTGTGGCTGTGACTCAGTAAGTCCTCAGGCTGCTTTGGCGTCTGATGGTGCTGATCCTTGAAGGAGCCAGTCTCTATTTAAGGACTGCCCTGGTCCCAAATCTGCCATGACTCGACACAGCCACACAACTGGAACAATTGCAGGAGGGAGCAAGAGAGCCCATGCCATCACACAGCAGTGAATTTCCTCTAACCTCACTACTCACATAGGTAGATTATAATCAAAGACTGGGTGTAATAATAGGCTGTATTTGCAGGGGAGTGGAGCAGTTTGAAATAATTTTGATAAATAACACCCTGGCTAAAGGTAAGCGCTATAATAGTATGATAATTCAGCACCAACATACTGAATCACTCAGTAAGATGCTGCTTATGGTGTATGTCATGCATGTAATTACAGCAATGAGGTATAATATAAATGTTTAGCAAAAATGTGACATCTTATTAATTCATCTGCATAAAACAAAGCTGACACTCGTGTTGAACTTCACCGAGTCTCCTCTCTCTTCCTCCTCCTCTCCTT